TGTCAGTGACTTCAGTGGATTGTGCCATGTTTCGGTTTGGCCCGCCCCTAACCTTCTTTCAACTTACTCCTACACCACAAAAACGTCGCTCGTCGAGGCAGTTGGTGGTTAGCCATACATAACACATGTCCCAACCACCTCAACTGATGAAGTTTCACTACTTCATCTATTGATTTGCCATCCCTACCTAGAACTCGTTTCCTAACGACAGCATCGCTTAAATGGTTGTCCCACGATACACGAGCAATGCTTCGGAGGCATCGATGACCGAAGACTAGTAACCTACGAAATTCCTCTACTCTTAAACGGCCAAGTCTCGCATCCGTACAGTAGGGCGAAGCGAACTGCTGCAAGTACAACTCGTCCTTTGGTTAGAAGGAAAGCCCAAGACAGATTAGGTTGAGGAATACTGGTCGACGGTCTATGCTCCATTGCCGGGGGATAACATGCGTAGGTAAGTAAGTAGTGTAAGTACAAAACAACAAAAATTAACACTTACTTGTTTTTGATTGTGAATCAATGGTGTATTTGTTAAATTCATCCGATGCATAGAATCAACAAGTTGATTATTATTTGGTACACAATGAATTTTGTTCATGATTCGGTGGTAGATGATTTGATCCAGGCATATTATGAGTAGTATTATTAGTAGTATTAGGATTCAGTAGTAGTAGTTTTTATATGAATGAAGACGATTCATCTTTCAACTTTCATCATATAATTTTGATTTGCATTAGACGGCAATGTGCAATTGATTAGCATCCGTTGAGTTGGATAAGAGTGAATTGTGAGATTTTTGTTCAATTGTCGACTTGTAATTAGATTTTTTCATTGAATTGATAAGGTTGTTGATGGTGTTGTTGTGTATGTGGGTGTTGTGGGTGTTGAACTGGTGAGGACTGCTGCTGTTGTTGTTGTTGTGGATAATGTCGACGATGATGAAAGCTATCATCGTCGGAATACTGGGTATTTACAGTTTCATTAGTAGAATGTAAATTATTAGAGAGTAGTTGTTGATGTTGCTGTTGTTCTGTTGATTTTTCTATCGTAGATGACATAAAACTCACTGGTTTACTGTAATGTGGATGATTAATCTTTAAAAGTAGAAAATAGAAGAGACAGGAAATCGAAAAACTAATTAACAAATCAGTTTTTTCTCTATAGAGAATACAGGAGAGAATATGACTAGTTAGTGTACAGGACCAGTGATACGACCCTACAAGACAAACGGTCTGGACGGGTCAACGCGAAATTTTGGGATCTAACACGGAATAAAGTACAGAAGTACTACCAAAGTGAAAACATTGGGGACCCGTAAAACACAACTCATCATCGTAAATCGTTCAATCTGGCAAAAATAATCAGCCACTTCATCAGATGTCGAGAGCAGCAAAGGGTGTCCGGGCTGTGCCATAGCAACAAAACCTAGCAATCTAAGACGATGTAAACAATCAGGAGGTTGTAATGACAAAGGCCGAGTGTGTGCGTTCGATAAACTGATTCAGGGCTTGATCTTCCACACAGCGGCCCGGCGGCAAGGACAGGTAACGTTGACAACATCCTAAATTCATGTATACCTACTGATGAAGGAGCGCCGCACCAAACAGCAAACAGGTCGAGGGCAATTCAAGAGTGTACATAAGTGGCCTAGGTGGAAATGTCATGTTCTGGTAGCTATGAAGTGTGCGTTGGGCATAGCCTTACAGGTGGGATTTGTGGGATATACCTCGTGCAAATGGAGCTAGGCTGGTGAATGCATAGAACGAGGTCAACCCGTAGGACATGGGTTTCAAACAAGAGTTTCGATACTGAGAAGCAAGGAGAACAGTTCGAACACTGATAGGCTAATTGCTGAGTTCGAGTGGGGCCGTGAGCGCCCTGATGGAATTTGCACCACCCCACAAAGAAAGCAGTCGTGAGGGAAAGACCCACCAAAAAGTAAAAACTAGTCGTAATTCTTAAAAAAATGACCATTCAACCCAATAAAAAGGCAAGGAGTGTTGCCTGAACCCCAAAGGGGGGAACTAGCAATTCCCATTGAGGGCAACTGAGCCAAGCCCTCCATCACAGGCGGGCGCAGAAGCCGGCCGGCTGCAAGATGAAACACAACAAAAGCAGAGTCAGTGAGGACCGTGTGCAAGTGAGTTCTTGGTAGATTAAGGTCGCCAAACAAATGGTCACGGCACACCCAGGACTCTGTACGAACCCAGTACTGTTTGTTTCAACAAACGTTTCAGTATCCCGTTTATACACCGGCAGAGTCAGGTAGGGCAGAGAGAAAGCAAGTTGTTTACCTTGGGCAAAATGCGACAAGAAGAGATGATTTGGAAAGAGGGACTATATGAAATGATCAAATAAGGTATGTCATATTTGGAAATGTGCTCTGACAACAATATTTGAGGATCGGATCAATGAAGGAGTGGATCTGATAAAAAGTGAAATACAATAAGATAGCACAGGGACTCTCAGATAAGACTATGTTAACGGGGCCCCCATACCCGTAACTAATGATAGCTGAAAGAAATAATGAGAGGAAGAAGTTGATGGACTCGGATGTGGGTTGTGACAGGAGAAAAATGTACAGGCAAGATAACAGAAAGATACAAAAACAACCAAAAACAATGATGACACCTACAGAAAAGAATATCCTTGAAAAGTAATCAAAAAAATAGAGGATGTGAGGTGAGAGAAATACAACAGAATTGACTCGATAATAACAATTCAGGGAGTGTGTAGATATTTTACAGTCCAAAAGATCAGTAAGAGAAATTATCTGCGTCATATCGATTGGGTAATTTCTAGGTAGTCAATGGTGAGGAGCGTCATAGAGAGAAAGGTCGCGTAGACATACCCAATAGGTGTGGTGTCGGATTGGGCGGCTTAATTCTTGGCAAGGGTCACAAGAGACGTCAATTGTGTGGTTTTTCATGTGAGGCGACCCGAAAGTGATAAACTAAGCAAATGATCAGGTAAACGTGTGCTAGGACATGAAGCCCCTAGGCTGAGAGCCGTAGCTCTGTCTGCGTCTTGGGAGTCCCGTAGTAAGTTCCTGTGGTAGGCGGTGGAGAGATAGCAAGTAACAAGTGCTGATTCATTAGCCAGGGCAGTACTTCTGGGTGAGAATGGGCCAATGGGTTAGGTGAGGGACCACGCCGCTGGTTTGTAGAGGGAGATAGGGATTTCGTGGTTCGCCGGTGTAGCATCGAGGTGTATTTGAGACACGGGCGTAGCAACAGGGAATGATCTCTCGGGTTCCAATCCTCCGATTGGTTGTGGCCGTGTGGAGTAGAAGAGGCCATCGGGATCACGGGGTTCAAAGTAGTCGAGGAACGGCGACACGACAGGCGACGTCTATACCCGAGTGGACCAAAACCCATTGAATTAAAGCAAGAAGATCTGGAGTCCTGATGTAAGTAGGAAATCTGTGAGTTAAGAAAACCATCCCAGGAAAGAGTACGAGATCCGAGACCAGAAGAGGATAAGGATCTCAGACTAGGCATCCGGGTCCGGGTCATAAAACGTTACACATAATGCGTATTTATATATTTAGGTCGAATAGGAAACAACATCGAATTCTGTGACAGTGACAGTTAAGACTACCAATGAGAAACAACATTGTAGAACGATCATAAAATTGACCAGTAGAAATTAACCAATAAGAATTGACCATTAATTCTAGGATATTTGATGAATATCCTAACAAGCACTGATTATTATTATCGTCAATCTGTGTTTCTCACCTAATACGCTATTTTGTGATTCTTTCAAGGATGTTCTTTTCTGTAGTGTATCATTGTTTTGTTTGTTTGTATCTCTCTGTTTTTGGATTGTACATTTTTCCTGTACACTCTGAACTTCTTCCTCTAGTTAGTTAGCTAGCTAGCTGAGTTAGGTAGGGCACAGTGAAATAGCTTAGCTGGGTCCTGCTACATTATTATATTTCACTGTTTATCACATTTTAATTGATCAATACCAAGTTGTTGTAATGTTACAAATATGATAATTAGTTGATCAGTTCATATAGTCACCTTTAAAATCATCTGTTATGGAGCATTGCACAAGTAAAATGGTTAGCTTTCTGAACTCAATAGTGAAGTGGTCAACGCAGATGACGTTTGTTGAAGCAAACAGTACTGAGTTCATAAGTCCCTAAGTGAACATTGTTGGGGATGTTAGATCTCCAGAACTCACTTGAAAAAGTTCTTCATATTGGATTTTTGTGTTTTCGCGCATGGGCTGCTCAGTTGACCTTGAGATTACATTTCCCACCAGGAAAATCCTTGACTGTTATTGGTTGATGTATTATTTTAGTACGCTGTTTTTGTGGTTTATCAAGACTTCTTGTCAAAATTAGCAGGGCCGGGAACAATCGAATCACAATAACCTATCGTGTCACTGTATCATTGCTTCTCTCTCGTTTACCATGTAAGGTGAACTCGTTATAGCATTCAAGCATATCAATTGACGAGTATATCAAACATCCAACTGTAGGCTATGACAAAGCACATTCAGCTAAAAATGAATGCCAACTAGGACGAGATGTACATCTTGAATTGCACTACTGTGGTGCGAGCTACTTATAAGTAGTATATGACGTGAGCGTCAACGTAAAGTCTGGCAGCCGAAGATGGAGGGATGATCAAGAAAGAAAGAGCAGGAACACAATGGAATTTGTATGAAACGCATGAATAGTGAGTGACAATGGATTGATGTTGTTTGCAACATGAACAGTCAGTCCAGTTCGATATGATGAACCGTTATTTTGCAAATGAACGATTTACGATATGGGTTTCCAATTTTACTGAGTAACTCTGTAATTTTTCGTTAGATACAATTCGGTTGCCCCACCTGTGTTGTCGTTCACTACACTACTAGTCATATTCTCTCTGTATTCTCTATAAAGAAAAAACTGATTGTTAATTAGTTTTTCGATTTCCTCTCTCTTCTATTTTCTACTTTTAAAGATTAATCATCCACATTACAGTAAACCAGTTAGTTTTATGTCATCTACGATAGAAAAATCAACAGAACACCAACAGCAACAACTACTCTCTAATAATTTACATTCTACTAATGAAACTGTAAATACACAATATTCTGACGATGATAGCTATCATCATCGTCGACATTATCCACAACAACAACAGCAGCTGCAGCAATCCTCACCAGTTCAACACCCACAACACCCCTATGCACAACAACACCATCAACAACCTTATCCATTCAATGAAAAATCTAATTACAAGCCGACACTGGAACAAAAATCTCACAATTCACTCTTATCCAACTCAACGGATGCTAATCAATTGCACATGCCGTCGAATTCAAATCAAAATTATATGATGAAAATGAAAGATGAATCGTTCCATTCATATAAAACTACTACTAATAACACTAATACTACTCATAATATGCCTGGATCAAATCATCTACCACCGAATCATGAACAAAATTCATTTGTACAAAATAATAATCAACTTGTTGATTCTATGCATCGGATGAATTTAACAAATACACCATTGATTCAACAAAAACAAGTAAGTGGTAATTTTTGTTGTTTGTACTTATACTACTTACTTACTTACCTACGCCTGTTACCTTCCGCAATGGAGCATAGACCGTCGACTAGTATTCTTTAACCTACTGTGTCTTGGGCTTTCCTTTCTGTTTGCTAACCAAAGGACGAGTGTACTGTGCAGCAGTTCGCTCCGTCCTACTGTACGGATACGAGACTTGGCCGTTAAGAGTAGAGGACTTGCGTAGGTTACTAGTCTTCGATCATCGATGTCTCCGAAGCATTGCTTGTGTATCATGGGACAACCGAGTAAGCAATGCTGTCGTTGGGAGACGAGTACTAGGTAAGGATGGCAGATCAGTAGATGTAGTAGTGAAACTTCATCAGTTGAGGTGGTTGGGACATGTGTTAGGTATGGCTAACCACCGACTGCCGCAACGAGCTATGTTTTTTAGTTTAGGAGTAGATTGGAAGAAACTTAGGGGCGTCCAGAACAAAACATGACAGAAATCCATGAAGTCACTGACAAGTGGACTGAGTCATGTTGGTAGATGTAGGCTACTTGGTTGGGGTTCGCGAGACGATAGTCACCAATGGTTAGAGATCTTGAACGACATGGCTCAGAATCGTTTGCAATGGCGCCGGTGCATCCACTTTTTGTGTTCTATGAAATTTTAAGCTTCTGCATTCCTCATAATCTCTACCTTTCTCCTTCTAAATTTACCTTACTGAATTATACTTCTCAAATCATATCTTCGCTCCCTAATCTTCTCCATTACTGCTAATACTTTTACTATCACTATCATTCTTGGATTTGAACTGACGGTTGCGTCTCTGTGCTGATGGGGCATGGCAACCTGAACTGATGTACGTACGTACGAAGTTCTGCGTTGTATCTGTCTGTCTATACTAGATGTCTCTTTAATTTATAGTAATTTAAAGTAGTTATTTTACTACCCGTAATAATTAATCTATTTGACTACTATTCCTATCTTTCACACTTTTCTAGTCATTTAATCATGAATCATTCAGTCAACAATCCGTTTCATCAGCATCAACACCACGGGGATATTCACATCAACAGCAGCATCAACAGCAGCAACAACAACCTCAATAACAACACCAACACCAAAAACACCAACGTGATGCTTATGAACAACATCATCACAACACGTTAAACTATCCATCATCATTGGTATTCAGTAGTAGTAGTAGTCATAGTAGTGGTTTACAAGCAAATTTTACAACATCCTCGTCTAGTACAACAGCACAGTCTATGATGATGACTAGTCAACAACCACTGGCGCCACGGACAACAACAACAACAACAACGTCGACATTCTCACCACCACCGTCATTGTCTTCGTCGAATGAAATGAATCACATGTATTTCACTCCGCAAATTGATTCTCAATTGAATACTCATGATAATGCTGATGATGATGTTAATTCGACGAATAATTATGCGTCATTTTCATCTAATCAACAAGCATTTGATTATTTTGCAAATTTACAAAGTGTAAGTGTTGTTGTGGTATTATTATTATTATTATTATTTGTGATTGTTTACATATAAGATAATTGCCCTTGTTCACAAATGTCCTGGTTATGGTTAAGAGTGTGGATAGAGTTTGGAAATCCGATCATACATCAATCCATTGTCACTCACTATTCATGCGTTTCATACAAATTCCATTGTGTTCTAACTAACTCTTCCTTTCTTGTTGATATTCCCCCCATCTTCGGCTGCTGCCAGACATTACGTTGACACTCACGTCATATACTACTTATAAGTAGCTCGCATCACAATACAATGACCACACAGCCAGGGAAGTTCTACTTACTTACTTACTTACTTACTGTCTTCTGGTGATAAAATGTTGTTGTTCATCCAAATTGGCAGAACGAAAAGTGAATGTCTGGCTAGCGGGAGGCTTTTAATCCGGGTTGGTGAATACAAAGTATCCATAACTAGGGAATTTATGGTTACCAATATTCGATCATAGATGTTTAAGAAGCATTGCTCGTATATCGTGGGACAACCGAGTAAGCAATGCTGTCGTTAGAAAACGAGTACTAGTTGATGTAGTGAAACTTCATCAGTTGGGGTGGTTGGGACATGTGTTACGTATGGCTAACCACCGACTGCCTCGACGAGCTATGTTTTGTGGTGTAGGAGTAGGTTGGCAGAAAGCTAGGGGCGGCCAAACCAAAACATGGCACAAATCCATGAAGTCACTGACAAGTGGGCTGAATCATGTTGGTCGATGTAGACTATCTGGTTGGGTCCGCGAGACGAAAGTCACCGATGGTTAGAGACCTTGAACGACATGGCTCAGAATCGTTTGCAATGGCGCAAGTGCATCCATTCTTTGAGCTCTCTCAAATCCTAATCTTCTGGATTCGTCAACACCTCTACCTTTGTCTTTCTAACCTTATCTCACTCACTGAATTATACTTCTTGAATAATATCTTCAAACCCTACTAGTCTTCTTCATTACCATTAATACCTCTACTATCTTTATCACTATGGGATTTGATTTGACATTTGCGTCTCTGTGCTAATGTGTGGTATGGCAACATGAACTTATGTACTTACGTACGACGTTCTACGTTGCAACTGACTGACTGACTGACTAGGGAAGTTGAAAAAACCCTTATTCCAAACCAATGGTTTTTTTTACCTTGGGCTTTAGAATTGTGACGGAATAAATGATCTATAAACCTATTGTTGTTGGTGACTGGTTACTACCATGAGATTGCATCTCCTAGACTACTTGGTCAAAAGCTTGAGGAGTCAGTTAATCAGTCAGTCAGTCATTTGCAACGTAGAACTTTGTACGTACGTACAGCACTTCATGTCGCCATACCACATTAGCTTACTTACTTACTTACGCCTGTTACCCCCAATGGAGCATAGGCCACCGACCAGTTTTCTCCAACCAACTCTGTCCTGGGCTTCCCTCTCCAGTTCTGTCCAATGTTTGTTTATTCCTCTCATATCTTTCTCTATTTCTCGGCGTAATGTGTTCCTTGACCTTCCTCTTTTCCTTTTGCCTTGAGGGTTCCATGTAAGGGCTTGTCTCGTGACGCAGTTAGATGCTTTTCGTAGTGTGTGTGTCCTATCAACAAACTCCACCGCTTCTTCCTGATTTCCTACTACACTGGAATCTGGTTAAGTCTCTCGCACATTACGTTGTTGCTGATCATGTCTGGCTAACGAATCCGAATTATTTTGTGTAGACAACTATTAATAAATACTTGTATCTTCTGGATGATGGCTTTCGTATTTCTCCAAGTTTCCGCTCCATACAGTAGAACTATCTTGACATTTGTATTGAAAATCCTGATTTGGGTTTTGGTTGAAAGTTGTTTGGAGTTATACCATATTAGCACCGAGAAACAATTGTCAATTAAAATCCCACAATGTTACATGTAGTAGAAGTATTAGTGATAATCGAGAAGATTAGGGTTCTAAGATATAATTCAAGAGGTATAATCCAGTGAGGTTAATTTAAAAAGACAGAAAAAGGTCATGAGAAGTTCAGAAGGTTACAATTTGAGAGAAGACAAACAATTGATGCCCCTGGGCCATGACATTCAAGGTCTCTAACCATCGATTTCTATCATCTCGCGGAGCCCAACCCAGTAGTCGACACCTACCTACATGAATCAGTCCTGTTGCCATTGACTTCATGTGTTTGTGCCATGTTTTGTTGTGGGCGCCCCTACTGCTACCTACCTACTGCTACACCACAAAACATAACTCGACGAGGCAGTCGGTGGTTAAGCATTCGTAACACATGTCGCAACCACCTCAACTGATGAAGTTTCACTACTTCATACTTCACTACTGCATTGCTTACTAATATTCGGAAGCAATGTTAGGAGAGTAGGTCCTTCCTAAAGAAAACCATCTACCTCGGTTTGAGCATCCGAACAATAAGTACTTCAGTCGACCCGCATACAAATCCAACAATTGTAGTAGCACAAAAGCATTTAAATATCCTCCCCTTGTGCCAATATTTATATATCTAAATCAATCAATAATCATGATGGTGATATATATTCTCCTGTTAATTTTTTACTTGCTTACTT